TATAAATAATTTTATGTCTTCTAGTGATAATGATGTGTATACTGAGGATCTTGATAAATCTATTTCTGTGGATGAAGTAATTAAAACTATATCTATGTTAAACCGTTATAAAAGTTGTGACTACGAAAATACATATGGGATTAAAGCTTATTAACTAATCTTTCGTTTAATTGGGGATATCGCAAACATTCCATTTTCTTCAGTTAGAAGCTGTCTCTAGAGCTAAGCTATTTTTCCACACACACACGCACACGCACACACACGCACACACAACTTATTTAATGAAAAATATATATGTCGATTTAAGTAGTAATATCACTGTATCACTACAGGAATTAGAACTGTTCTTCCTTACATATCCTTTTTCGAATGCTATAACCATACGTACTATTCAAGTATGATATAGTTAACTGTTCACTAAAGTTAACTGCTTTTCACCATACCAGGAACTAATTGAACTCTGATGTTTTCACTTCCAAATGAAAATTTTGAAAAAAGTTCTTTTCATTTTATTAAGACTGACTTTTAAATAAGTTCGAACAAACAATTTAATATCAACCGCATGATATGGAAAATCGGAACCACTTCAAAACATTTGCACGGTTTCTTTTTACTTATTTAATGTCTCATGTTTATATGTTTAGTTTTTTTAATTCCTCTTTTTCAGATGTTTTCTATCAACGCAGGTATGTCTTTGCTCGTGATGTTTTTAGGTGAGATATTTTTTATATCATTTTGTAGATATTGTATAGATCACTGCATGGTTTGTCTTATTTCTTTAACGCGTGAAGTAACTTAAAAGGCATGTTATAGCACAATCAATAACAACGTCGCTCTGAAGTTTGTAATAAATATTTTATTTTTTACTTTAATAGCAAAATTTTAATTTCGCCAGTTATAGAATTTATTATTTAAAAATCTAAGTAAGTAGGTAGGATTTTGTTTGTTTCATTTTACGCCTTTTCCCAACAGTATTTCAGTCATATACAAATATAGGCGGGTAGTTTCCTAACCATTGTTCCCGGATAGTTACACCAGTACTAGGCTACCTTCCTCCGCGCTAAACTACCAAAGCATCTCCCGTGGATCGAACCCACGCCAGAGAGGTAACTGGATGAGAAGTCATCGACTCTAACCCCCCGACCACGGAGGCGGTATAAGTAGGTAGGAAGGTAAGCGTATGTAAGCAGGCAAGTGGGTATGTGAGTAGACAAGTAAGTAAGTGGCTAGGTATGTAGGTAGGTAGGTAAGTAAGAGAGTAAGTAAGTAAAGAAAGTTAAGCAAAGAGTGGCATGGTTATGCTTACCTAATTTTGGCATGCAAAGTATAGCATTACATAGCATAACAGAACATAACATAGCACAGTGCAGCATAGCATTGTAAAATGTATAGTATTACATAATAAACTTAACTATAGTAATGAAATTGTACTGTGTTATGTAGTGTAGTTTAGTGTAGTGTGGAGAGCGGTGGTTGTGAAGTATAGAATAGTGTGATGTAGCTAAATGTAGTGTAGGTGTGGTATACTGTAATATGATTTTGAATAGTGTAATGCTTGTCTGTAGGTTTGATTAGTGTTTACGTCACACCGACACGGTTAAAGTCATATGGTGACGTTCCAGCTTTACTGGTGGAGAAAGACTTCAAGGTGAATTAGTTCAGTGTTGTGTAGTATTATACTTTAGTATACTTAAATATAAGTATAGGATAGGATAGAACAGGAGATAAGGACATGATATGGTAGGATATTGGAGGATAGTGTATGAGTACAGTATAGGTATAGCTATCGGTATCGGTGAAGGTATCGGTATCGTATAGTACAGTAATGATATATAGTATAGTGCTTCGGTCCATGAAAATGATTTTTTTCCAGTATCTGAGATTATTAGTCAAGCGTCTGTAAGTACATGGATGCCAGTCTATCATATATTTTGTAAAATCATTGTTGCATAGAGATATAATTTTCATCCAATATTTTATTATACCCCCACAAACGAAGTTTAGGGGGGTATAAAAGAGTCAGCTTGTCGGTCGGTCGGTTGGTCGGCAGGCGCGTAGCTAGCCTATAAAGAATGTGGATAAAAAATAATCTAGGGGGTCAGGGGGCATGCCCCCCCCCCCCCCACTGAAAATTTTGAAATAAATGGTGCAATTTGGTGCGTTTTGGGGCCTCCGGAGAGCTTTCTTGACCAACGAAAATCCATTTATTTTACCAGAAATGTTTTTTTTTCATAAAAATTCCATGTATTAATATAACTAATCTACCAAGAAGGAACTATTTCAAAAATGCAGAGTAATACGACAAATGCACCAGAATTTTTCACATTTGCATCATGAATTCACTGATTCAGGTTGGTTAGTTCAAAATGTTGTCAGTCTCGCTAGAATCGGTTCACAGACATGGTCAAACATGTCATTACTCAACAAACAGACCGAAACAAATAAACACTAGGCATACATAGTAACATTTTAGTTATAATTCCCTCTTTTCTATCGCTGATTCTGCTGATGACTTCTTTAAGAACTCGATGTAAACATTTGTTTACACATCGAAAATACGGCGCGTGCAAACTTCCGACTTTGAAGAGCTGCAAAGGCCGGCAACTTTTCAAAAAAAATACTACGGTATATGGTGTACGATTTAGGCTATATGATTTATAACATATTCAGTGTGGTAATTATCAGATCTGCCGAACGCGGCTGAATTTCAAACCACATTTTTTTTACTAAAAATTTTTTTTTTGGTCAAAATAATGTGGATTCAGCTGCGTACTCGCGTATAGGCAGCTACGCGCCTGGTCGGTCCGTCGGTCGGTCCACATCATGGTTTCCGGACGATAACTAGAGTTTGGAATGAGGTATTGTAATCAAACTTGGTATATAGCAACCTTATGTAAAAACTCAGTTTAGTACTGCATTTGGACCCCCTGGGGTCAAGGTCAAGGTCACCGTTACTAAAAATATAAAAATGGTTTCAGGACAATAACTAGAGTTAGGAATGAGATATTGTTATCAAACTTGGCGTATAGCAAGTTTATATGAAGACCTAGGTTGGTATTGCATTTGGGCCCTCTGGGGTCAAGGTCAAGGTCACCGTAACTAAAAATAGAAAAATGGTTTCCGGACAATAACTAGAGTTAGGAATGAGATACTGTAATCAACCTTGGTGTATAGCAAGCTTAAATGAAGACCTGGGTTGGTATTGCATTTGGACCCCCTGGGGTCAAGGTCAAGGTCACTGTTACTAAAAATAGAAAAATGGTTTACGGACAATAACTTAAGTTAGGAATGAGGTATTGTAATCAAACTTGGTATATAGCAACCTTATGTGAAAGCTCAGGTTAGTATTGCATTTGGACCCCCTGGGGTCAAGGTCAAGGTCACCGTTACTAAAAATAGAAAATGGTTTCAGGACAATAACTAGAGTTAGGAATGAGATATTGTTATCAATCTTGGCGTATAGCAAGTTTATATGAAGACCTGGGTTGGTATTGCATTTGGGCCCTCTGGGGTCAAGGGCAAGGTCACCGTAACTAAAAATAGAAAAATGGTTTCCGGACAATAACTAGAGTTAAGAATGAGATATTGTAATCAAACTTGATGTATAGCAAGCTTATTTCGAGACCCCAGTTGCGATTACAATTAATTGAAATATTTCTTTGTACACAGTTGATAGTTTGTGTTCAATTTTTTTCTTCAGACTACTTTTTTTTCAAAAAGTCAAAGTTGCTGGTGGGGGTATTAATCACCTTCAGTGATAGGTCTAGTTTTCCTTTGAATAACGGTAGCGATGCGACCCGATTCTCCTTGAAAACAAAATCATGTCGTATGCATAAATTATAAAAATTGTAATAATTTTCAGATTTATTGAACCTTGTAAACCAGACATTCACAATATCACTTTTTAACAATATTGCAAATAACGATAATTCGAATCTTGCTGCCTGGTCCCTTAAAACACCCCAAAATGGGGGGCAACTCGGGCCTGTATTTAAAAACAATTAATGAACTTTAATTGAAGTTTTTGTGATTAAGCGGGTTAAAACACTGCTGGAAATCGATGAATTAATAGTCAAGTTTTTCTGTCGCTATGATTGACTGCAGAATAACTGTTGTTTTTTAGCATGTGTATAATTATATTGACCATTTCAAAAGAAAATTGTGAATATTTTTTTGCTATGATATTGATTTATGTGATACCCTTACTGGTGTGATAATACCAACTCCCACAATTCTGAATATACAATATTTAAAAACAAACGGTTACATGAATATAGAGATTTCAAAAGAAGGTAAAACAATATATATCGTTAACTTAATCTATTTATCTTTCATTAATGGCATACCCCTTGCGGGGACGTAGAATGTATAATGACAAGTAATTCAAAGTTATTAAAGCCTAATAAGAACTTTTTAAGCCTAGTCTGTTTAGAAGAATTAGAAACGTTAGTACGATGTTATAAAAACTTATCAAGGATTTGTCCCTCTTTATTTAGTGAAATAGAATAAAAATAAGGATTGTCTTTGATAATGTTAAATTAGCAATAAAAAGTGTAAATAAGACTTTGTTTCTTCAAATTAGGTCTTTATAAAGCCTTCTCTGGAGAAATTAAATTCAAATAGGAGTTCAATTTGCCTAATTATGAGATTGAAATGAAATTTAAAGAAAATACTTTGTATCTCATATTTAGGTGTTTAAATGCTTTGATATGAAAACAAACTTTATTAGAACTTTGATACTATATTTTATAAAGCTTGGTAAGGATTATAAGTAAATAGGATTTTAATTATTTATGGGTATGAGGATTTTAAGATTCCTACTTCCGTTCTCTTTCTATCCCTAATTATGGGCTATTAGATTCCTAATAAGGCTGTATATCTATATTACAAGATAAAAGTCAAAATAAGAAGTTTGTTTCTTAATTAGGCTTAATATGCTACTCATTAGTAGTTAGATTTATCAAAAACTAAGATTTAGGAGTACCCTTCCCTTAGTTTACTAAGGGGCATAATTTAATATGTAGCAATAACTCAATTTAACCAAGTTACGTTGGAAAGTTTATAGATTTGTGTAACCAACAGTCTTATTTTTGCACGATCTGAGTCAAGTACGCTCTGTTTGTTGACAGTGATGGAATAGTGGGCCTGAGAGGGGCTATATCACTGAAACATTTTACCCTGATCATGTTTTCATTGCTGTAGTTAATCACTACATTACAAAGAAACCCATGCCCGGGATGCGCAGGATCAAATTACTCTATGGTAAAGCACCTGCGCATGGATCAGCCTTGGTTCAAGCTCATTTTGAGAAGAACATAATCGAGCTTAGGCTACATCATGCTTATAGTCTTGATGTCTCTCCTTGTGAAATTTGGTTAAAGGCATACATCAAAGTTTACCTTCGTAGTCGAAACCCGAAATGCCGTCGAAAGCGCTCTCTACCAGCCAAGGAACAGTTCAAAAATGCTCTACTTATCAATTTTACAGGTATAACAGAAACGCGCTGTCGTTGCAACTTATTAAAACATGTCCCCTCTTAGTATTAGGGTTATTGTCTTAAGGGCCGTTACTTGTTTTTACAAGTGAACATGCCAATTAATGAGTATTATTTAGATGATTATTCATTATTCATCAAAATTGTATGCACAGCTACTTTGAAACAAGTTTATACTTTTAAATGGTCTTTTAAAGTACATATGTGTAATATAATGTTTGAAGCATTTGTTCATTTTATTTACAGTTTGCAGTGTGACAGCATTAAACAATAAAAGTAAGTAGGCCTTTGATTAATCTCTGTCGCATATCGCATAATCATCATCTATGCATAAGCGCAAAATCTTTTTCTCAAAAATCCGCTGAAGATCTTTATTCAAACCATTATTTTATCATGAATTATATAACGTTTTGTGCAATAGAATATATTTGTCATAAAAGGAGTACTACACATGTCGAACGTTGTTTAGGTTTCTTCTACTCGAACTTTTTCTAAGTGACTGATTCCGGTATTCTGGCTTAAACACTGTAAAATCACCCTTAAGATATGTTGCCTGTTTCAAAGTTTGTTTTGACGTCTTTTTGTCTGTGATGTATAGGCTTCAAAACATTGGATTCCCTTTCACAACTCCAAAATATTTAGTTCCCCCTTTTTTTCTCGTTTAAGTCTCACAAGTTTTATTTGGGGACCATACGCCACTGTTTAAATGTTGAAGTTTGCTTAGGCCGGTGCAAGGGGAAGTGGACTGCAGCTTGCACTTTCCAGTATCGTCTATGAACAATTTAAATTAAACCGAGTCTGCAACTTTTTCCAATTTGTCGTTTTAGACGTTCTTTATGAATCATTATATTTTTCTTTTTAGCTCACCATAACCAGGTTCAGGGTGAACTTTTAGTATCAAAGAGGAATGCTCTAGGGGTCAAGAGAGCTAAAAATAGAAAAAAAAAACATTAAAACGTCATCTCCTACTGAACCAATGGATGGATGACCACCACACTTTGTCTGTACAATCTTTGTTAGATTTTTATCTAATTTGCTCATATTAATTTGATTGGCCCCTTTAAGGGGCATTTAGAGTTAATAAAAGAAGAGAAAAGAAAAGTCTTTTAAACATTCTATTACTGAAGAAATTGATGGATGATCACAAAACTTTGTCTGTAGCATCATTTGGTAGTCTTATATCAAGTTTGCTCATATCAATTCAATCGGCCCCTTTAATGGGCCCCTTTAAGCTAGAATGTCCCCAGGCCATGGTATTTCTTCAAATTATATTTTTAAATAAGTTTAATAATCAAAGGGAAACAACTCATATTTGAATGTCTTCCTTAGATGTGTGCATGCATTTTTTCTAAATAAAGTTCAATTGCTGGGAGAACGTCTTAATGTCATGACCTGTTTGTCTTTTTGAGGTCTTGAAGAAATGATTTGAGAGCATATGCTTTGTATCTGAACAGTAACCATATCTGCACATTGTATTTCATTTGACATGCTAAATAAGACCTCACTAGACACTTCTGCACTATGGCAAAGTTCAATTGTAAAGAAAATTTCTGGTACTATTTAGTGTTTACAAATGCAATCTTGTTTAGCTAGGTAACAGTAAAATGAAATCATCTTCTTTTTGTGTAAATACCTTTCAGCTGTAGAATTGGGACACTTTTGCATCATAGTATGTATGTAGGTCTGTAAATGAAATAAAATTAGGCCCAAAGAAAGGTTACATTTGTATCCTGTACTTTACTAAAGAAAGATGAGTTTGTATGCTCAATTTTTTATTTAATTTTGTTTTAAAAAATGTTGTAATTTTTTCAATTTATGTTGAATTGGATTCAAACTTTAAAATATTTTTTGGGACAAACTGTTGGACCCCATGTTTAATTGAATGTTTGTATTAGTTGAGTTGTTATTTATATTTTGTAATACATTTTAAATACTTTCTTATTTTTTGATGTACAGACTTAAAATTTGAACCAGGAATGTAATTTCGGAAGCAAATTAAATTTAGATGTCACCTGACCTACTTTTGATATTAATGACATCCTTGACCTTATATCTCGTTTTTTTATGTACCTACCTGAAATTTGGACAAGAGATTTGATATCCGATCTTGAATTTAATTTTGATATCAACTGGTCTACTTTTAATATCTTTGATATCGCTTGATCTACTTTTTTGTTTTTTATGTACATATTAAAAATGCGACCAAGGGTGTAATTTGTGTAATCTTTGATGTGGAATCGAATTTTGATTGACCTTCGTTTAATATTATTGACACCATTTGATTTCTTTCTTGTTTATTGACATTTACAGATTTTATATTTAGAGCAGGGGTGTAATTTCTCATGTCGAATTGAATTTTGATAACAACTGACCTATTTCTGATATTTTTGATTTAACTTAACTTTACTCTTGATGTTTGGTGACCAGACCTGAAAAGTATCGCGGGTGTAATTTCGCCATATTAAATTTCGATATCAGATGACCTACTTTTTGATACCATTTGATCTACTGTCTTGTTTTTTTTTTTACATAAAGACTTGGTATTTAGACTAGGGGTGTGTTTTCTAATGCTGAAATAAATTATGATATAAGCTGGCCTACTTTTGATGTATATTTTCATTGTTTGACCTATTGTCATCTTTACAGGAACAGTGATGTTACCTATAAGAATGTATTATAAAATTGTTGCCCCAAACTGTAAACTTAAAACATCTACACATTACATATTGTGCATGTGATATTTTATGTATTCATTCTCAAAAGTTATACAAAAATTGTCCAATCAAAATTAATCCTGCTTTAGTGGTCTTTTATTCTGAGTTTATTCTACATTGTCTCATAGGATCACACTTATAGATATTTTTAGCAAAGCTTTTCCAAAATGAGGACAAAAGATTTCAATTACATAGTGAATAATGAAACGATAGGTCAGACGAGTGATCTAGGGCAATCTTTGCCCCATTGTTTATTATCATGAACAAAACAACAACAAACAAAAAACAAAAAACAATCAGTGTTGTGAAAGTATATACTGTATGTGTAGAAATGTTCGCAAGCTTCCAAATTTCGCGATCATCGCGGTTACATTCGATTCGCTAATTCATGTTAAGCGCGAATATTTCTACACCAATGATTGCTTAATAGATATATTTTCGCGCTTCTATAGAATAATGTTTTTTTTCAGTGTGTTATATGCTTTCAATACATACCATACGATGTTATAAATTACCGATTAATTGAGTTTTTTCATCAGTTGCAAATTTTTATGTTGTGTTGTTTATATTGTTTGTTTTGAAAAAAAACAACAGAATATGATCTGATCAAATATCAAGTCGTTTATGACGCAAACTGTGAAAAATCATGCACGATAACTAGCGTGCTTTTGTTTGCCATAATTTCCCGCTACACAATGTCTTTGTTCTGTACAATAGCGTTTTATTTGAAACCAGGCTTCGAAAACAATTGTGAACTTTCACAATGATTACGGTAATTTCCGTTATTTTTTTAATCTGAGAGTTCTACGCGAATTTATGATTTTCGGCAGGTACATCCGCATATTCAAAATAGCGCAACTAATTGTATAGACCCCCAAAATGGACATGTCCGCAAAAATTTGCTTCCGCGAATTCAAATACACATACAGTAACTAGAGGGGCAAGTTAAAGTTGAGCTGAACTGGCCTTTCGGCAAGGTCATTTAAATACAATTTCTAGAACTGAAAAACAGTTGTTTTTGGTGAGCGACTTAGGGCCATCAAGTCACTCTTGTTGTAAGTATAATTTTTATTGTATGATATCTGTATTGCAGCATGTGAAACACCCGATAATCCAGAAAACGGGTTTGTAACAATCAATGAGGACGACCCTACATTGGCAGTTTATTCATGTTCGTCAGGCTATGTAATGAGTGGAAAGACACATAGAGTTTGTGAAAGTAATGGACAGTGGAAAGGAAGTGCACCGGACTGTCGTTTAGGTACAATTATTTAAATTGACGTTAATATAATGAAAATCATATACATTTGAGTGGTAATAAGTTATATTTGTAAGATGAATCATAGTCAATTGGTATTATATTCAAAACTTAAAGGTGCAAAATGTTTCTTATAGGCCTAATACATAAATGTTTTATCTGCTATGTCTATTATTTAATACCGTGTTTTTGTACTTAATAATAAGCCTGTCTTATAAAAAAAATGAAATAAGATATATTTTCCGTAAATCTGAACATAAAAGTTGAAATAGGTAATAAGTTCTGCTTACTGATTGTAATCTTCTCTGCGTCTTATTTATGCGCGGTGTAATTTCACTAAATCAGCATTATACGCATGTATGTCATTTAATATAAATCAACTTACTTTTATCATGTTATCGTAATAAAATCAACATCATTAAGTATTTAAATCTGTACAAATTTCATATTTGCTTTTATTTAAATCAACATCATATCAACTTCTATGTAAATCAACATAACATGTTATGTCATCAGTATGATATGCTTTCAACATGACCAAAACTTTCAGTTATTACAAAACTTAGGCTCCTAAATTAGCGATTGTTAGCGTAGTCCTCGTATATAAATAAGGTTACACAGAAATAAAAATATCTTTGATTTTTTTTTAAAAAAGCAGGAGATATCCGGCGTAAAACAAATATGCAATAATTGATCATGATGTGTTTATATAAATAAGGAAGAAAACAAAACAGAATGCTGTGAAGTTAAAGAGTTTGACATTAATGCAAAACAAGATCACTATACTCACAAATATCACTTACCCGTTAAATTTACTATGTGAAACAGTACAAAGGCTTTTACGATGGAAAAGGTTTTGGTCAACAAATATGTTGTTGAAGCCCTAATTCAACTATGATAGTCAAAAAATATTATTAAAACATTATAATGTATGAAATTAGTTCGCAATATTATGTTTAAAAGTGTAAAATGTCCTGTTTTGGAAAATAATAGAAATCAGAAGGAATAATTTTGCAGTGAAGATAAGCATTTTTTTAAAAATATATTTAATTTCCCAAAATGAAGGCTTTGTTTCTTAAAATACGTTCATAAATAGATAAAAAAAAATGATGAAGAAAACGTTCATGAATTTGAAATTGGTAATTTAATAATGGGCTTGACTATCTATAAAAAGGTTGTTGTCACGTACTGTTTTTAAGGAGCGCCTCCGTGTATATTCACAAATGTTATGCAAATGTAAGTAAAAATATGAATATAAGTTACTTCCTACAATTATTTGCTGACACTTCGGATAAAATACAAAGAACGTGTATATGAATAACGTGTTCTTATTTTTTTCAGAGACGACGGAATCATCATCGTAAGTTTGTAAAGTTATGTATTGCTGCTGTATAAAGACAACTTGCAAAGTCTCAGCGTTTAAAATCATATCATTCTGATCTATTTAGATACGTAATTGCTTTTGCTAATGAGGACGTAATTAGCATTGCCCTAGTCAGTTTCTCTAATGAACAAACTGATCATTTCGAAAATTTCCATAATTATTATTTGTGCATGAGTTTTCCCCTTTTCTTATTGTTTACAAAAAAATAAAATTAATACATTCTTGAAATAATTATGCAATACAAAATTATGCACAAATGTCAGAAATGAATGAAAACATGTACCAGCGACATTGTGTAACAATGGCGTTTCTGTCTGGATCATCTTTTAATCATGCCTTACCATTTATTCGTCCAAAGTATGAGTTATGATTCTGTCATGGTACAAACTGCAACTGGGTTCTTACAATCATTCTTATAACTCATACTTAGTTCTTATTTCATGTGAACAGAAAACAAAATCAACATTTGCTTCTACTTATTGATAATTGACATTGATATGTTTTCCTTTCACAGACATTTAAGTGCTATAATTGGTGGAATTATAAGTGGAAGTGTCATATTAGCGGTAGCGGCTACTGTAATCATATACTTGATTAAGAAAAGAGATGATGGAAATCGTGAACCATGTATCAGTCTCAATTGCCATTGGTGTCCACGTAACCGTGATGAATCTGATCGCAGAGTTGTAAACCATGGTAATAAAAACGTATTATTTTGTGAAAAAACCAGTTTCACCTATAGTAAATATATTTCCTTAAAAATCTTTGATTTCAAGGTTATTCTTCAATTGGTTTCACATATTTATATAACATATTGTTTTGTCTCCTTTATAATGTAATTTCAATTTTACGTACCAGAACCAATTGTAATAATAATTGTTATTCTGAATCATACGTCTATACCGATTGTCTCTTTTACAAATCATTCAAAAAAAAGAAAATATTTTAATTGGTCCGGTTAAAAACAAAACATTTTCATAAACATTTTAAAATCTAAATTTTTCGTCATTAAAGCATCAATACACTTCTCAAAAGTCCTGAGCAGTCCGATCATGTATCTGTAGTCTTCTTAACATTTTGATACCCTCTGAATTCTAAACTTGATAACACCTTCAAGTTGGGCTATTGTAATACCCCTATGTTATTAACATAATGTAACAAATTACTTAATGATATCTCACCCTAAACCTCTGCATCAATAGGAATGATTCAGGGATGATACCCATAAAAAATGGTCAAAATAGAAAAAAACGACATATACTCCTTAATTTCTGTTTAGATTTTGATAGGATCCTTAGATGGGCTCTAATAGTCCGTTTTTTTAAACAAGACGGTTGCAAGTACTTAAAATAGAAAGAAGTGTTAATTGATACCATCAACCACCCAACAAATTTTGATTAAACTCTTCTACAGAAAAGAAATGATTATTGGGTGGTCTATAACTAAATTGGGTATCATTGTTTCGTTCCTGAACTTGATGGCCGCCGAAGCTACAAAATATCTTTACAGAAGATCTACTCAATTTATTTTGGTAAATTTTAATTTAACTTTACAGGAAAGATCCTTAAATAGTTGTCTATAAAGATGCTTAAGTAGTTGGTTTCGGTCTCTTGAACAAGATGGCCATCAATGCTAAATTTAATGACGGAAAAGATGTTGATTGACATCTTATTGTCTACCAACCAACAGATTTTGATGAAACTCTACAAAAATGTTCATTGGACAGTCCTATCATACAATTGCTGAAAGAAATGCGCTAAAATTAAAAACTGAAATAATTTAAACGAGATCTCCTCCTCAATTTTTTTGTAAATAATGACGGTTTTCAGCAAGATTGACAACTATAAAATTTCCCATATGGTTTTGCTTTGCTGAACAAGATGTTCGCTAGAAAATAACGTCATCTCCTCTCTAAACAGTGTGTACATTTGATGAAACTAGGAGTGACTTAGATATAAAATTTGCTTAAACAGTTCAGGTCTTTTGAAAAAGATAAACAATAGTGCTAAACATAAAGAATATGTGTTAAATGACATCATGTTCTCAATCAGACAATAGATTTTGATGAAACTCGATAGAAATGATCATAAGACATACCTTTTCTAAAATTGCTAAAATTGTTCTGGTCTGCTAAAAACATTTAAACGAGATGCACTCCTTAATATTTGGTTTATAATGATGAAACTTTACAGAAATGATCCTTTGATAATTTTCTTCGAAAATTGATCAAATGGTTTTTGGTCTGCAAGATGGCCGCCAGGGCTTAAAATGGAAAAAAGACATGTTAACGTCATCTCTTCCTGAACTACTGTGTATACTTTGATGAAACTATATAGAAGTGATAATTTAATGTCTCAAATAATTCGGTCTTTTGACAAGATTGTCACCCGTGCTAAAAAAAGAACAACAATTCCTCTTAACCTATTTGAATTTGAAATTATACATAAATTGTTATTTAAAGTTATCTTATGGATTCTGTCTGCTGATATCTATTGCCATAATGAGCTAAAATGATAATAATAATAATAATAATTATAATAATGATAATAATAATAACTTTTTAAAAAATTTACTTTCCATTTGAATGCTTGGTTCGTGTAGAGTCCATTACCCAATAATAATATGAAAAGAATAAATTCAACAAATTTACTCTTTTAATACACTTATTCCTGCACACTTAAATTTGTACTTCAAATAAAACGATATGCCCCGACATCCGGTGATATCATAATGTATTAATTAGTTTCAATTTCGAGCACCAATATCTTTAAAAAAAACAGTGTGCATCGACTTAGGGTCATGACGACTTGAGATAAGAATCACCTTTTAAGGACAATGAAGCTTCCGACGGGTTGGATTTTGGTCTCAAACGTTTGGGAATTTCTCTTGATTTATAGTCATTAAATGAATTGCCAAACACTAATCTGCAAAGCTGGAGAAAGATAATGTTCATCTATTGGCAGGATGATTATTATTTCTTAGATGGACTTAAAGCGATTTGCCAATGACACATTTATGTGAAATGAGCACTATAAGTGCTAACGGAAAGATATGAAATGTGTTTATTTCTTTTAAATAACCAACGAATAAATTTTCGCTAAAGTCAATCTTCAAGATTCAAACATGATATTATGTCTAAACAAACGAATTGGTTCAACATTTTGTTATATATCTAAGAGATCAACAGAGCGAAACATTGAAAATTTTATAACAAACTCATGCTCTAAACCGTTTTAATACTTTTACTGAAAAACATCATAGGACAGTTATGGCACTTTTAAATCATCTAAATCATAACAATAAAATGATTAATACATTCACTTATTTATTTAATGTACATTTATAATGACTTACTAAACTTAATATCACTTGATCTTTATTTTTAGCAAGTTTTGGCGACGGATATAATGTAAGTATAATTTTAAGTATAGTTTAAATTTAAAAATTCGTCCCGAAAAAAGTTCCAATATAAAATTCATTTTTGTTGCATTCTATTCATAAATTAATACACATTAATCGTAACAATATGCGCATTTTTAATCTAACTTTTACGAAAACGTTGGTTGTGAACAGTTTTACTATTATACTTTATACTGGTGAAATTATTTTACGCATACAGATGCATTTTACGCATGATTCATTTATAAGTGGTGTGTTATAAAACCTGTTTATTTATCTTATTATTAGATTGTATATTTTACTAGGGGCAACAGTCATCACAGCTTTCACTGCCATATTTCTTGAATGGAAATCGAACGGCGGCTATTAAAGAACTTGGTGAATATTAAGTATCAAAATGAAGGTATTTTTTAAAGCAACAGTCATTTCTCAAATCTGAAAATATACAAATATTGAAGAAAATACAAAACATGATCATGCTGCATGTTTATGACTGTAAGCTTTGATCGCTGTATATCGAGACAAAAATATTTTGTCCGTTTTAAATAGTTTTAACATGAAAGCATATTTGTAAATGTCGGTCGCAAAAAGGGTTCGTTAATAGCAATTATTAGATAAGTAAAACACAAATAGTAATACACAATAGAGTCAAACTCTAAATTTAAAAAAAACTGTTGGTGAAAAATATTATCCCAGTTTTAAACAATTCAAAAATTTATTTTATCTTTATTTCAGGAAAAAAAGTGAAACTCTTGAGAAAGAAAAGTTATTGTTAAGTATATCTTTGAAAAGCGTGACACTTTACTAAAAATTTTCAATGCTCAAAACTTTAGCAAGTATGGAAGCATGCAAGTGGTATGAATGTGAAAAAATATTATATCATTTCCGGAATTTCTTTTTTTTCATAAAATTTCACTAAACTCGCAATTATTCACATGTATAGTAAAGACGAGTATTAGAGAACAATGTGTTTATAATACACCCTGTTGGATTTTAACGAATATAACTGTAAATTATGCGGACAAGATTACATTAGTATATGGATATACAGCGTCTTCAAATCATTCGGACCGTATTAGTGATGTCTCAAAAAGTACGACCGAATAGTTGCCATATTACCACTACTATGTTACAGTAGGGTGAACGTGTCAGTTTACACGCAAAACGCACGTTACACGCTATACGAACGCACGTTACACGCTATACGAACGCACGTTATACGCACGCAAAACGAAACGAAATACGCAGACGCACGCAAAACGATATACGCTAAACGAAATACGCTAAACGATATACGCACGCTAAAACGCACGCAAAAATGAAAACGTTTTCTAAAACCTTTATTAAAACATCGTAATCATTTTAAGTTTTTAACAACTTTAGCTACATGTAGAACGTTTAAGCGATAAATTTTGATCATCATATACATGTAGATCTATACTGTAAGGTAGCTAGAAATGTATTTTAAACGAGTTTATGTAAGAACTGAAATGCAGTCAACCTAGCACCGAAATAAATTTTTGTCACAGCCTCAACAAATGATTTTTAGATATATTTATAAGCTATCATGCGCTAATATCGAAAGTAAAAAAGTTAATGTTAAGTGGTCCTTTTTATGCGCAAACGGATAAAGAACTATCCCTTGCATTCACTACGTAATCTCTACGTAATAGTCCAAAATGGCCGACATTGAAAAATTCATTGCAATTTTTTATAAATATACAGTGGTAACAATTAAATTCAGATGGATTTATGTGGCAAATCTATATATTAAGTGAGGCTGCATCATAAACAATCGAAATATATAATCTTGAGTGTAAAATAAAGGAATTAACTATTTTGACAGAAGTCACGAAAACAGATAAAAACACAGGATTCTACACGGATAACATTGAGGGAAATGGATAACATTAAAGGAAAAGCTTCCAGAATCAGGAATGATTAAATTGCTGGCACAATACGTAGATTTAAGTTGATGTCCTGTATGTTCATTAGGACACGCGCATATGATTTACTGTCTTGTCGCCCAGTAAAAGCTTCTCAAAACGAAAGTGAAAGTAGAAATAATCAGCGAAATCACTAAAAAAGGTAAAATTTCTAGGACATTACATATAATTAGTATAGATCTATATAAATATTAAAAAACGCAATTTTATTTTAGGTCTGAAACTGTAATCAAGAGGAAAAAATGAGGAAATTATTGGATTTACAAAGAACAGCACAACAGAAAAATATTTTTCATATCACTTAAAATTGAAAACTTATTGACCTGCGCTTAATATGTAATATGAAATAAGGCAAGCCTATGAACGGGGGAAGTCGTTAAAAAATTCCTTTCTTTCTTTCCGTTTTAAAATTGTCATTCGGTATTACATGCACCGCTTCCCCACTTTTCACTCAGAAACACTCGACGTTTATTATTTATTCCGAAAAGTTGAGATTTGTTCCGTTATCTGAATACCCTGCCTTTTATCATTGAGTTACATTGTAAATGGTGGCCCCCGACTAGAACTGACACTGAAAATTTTTCATTGATAGGTATAGAATTCTATATATTTTTTAATTGTTTTTTATTTGATTTTCTTTTAAATATAACACATGTAGTCTTAGCCGGGCAAGTCAAAGCCCGGACCTGCAGTTTTTGACTTCCCCGTATTATATACTTTCACACACCGGTGCCGATTTTGCCACTCAGTAAATATGGTATTGCACATCCATGCATATAATTTGACATGACCTCATTAGCGTTATTAAAAACTTATGATAAAGATGGCTAAATGGTAGCGTTAATACTATAGGCGTATAAATGAAAAACTACTCTTATTTCACTAAAACGGTCTTTATTTTGGTTGTATGTGATACAGTAGGGTGAACGTTTCAGTTTACACGCAAAAACGCACGTTGTGGAAAAAACGCATGCACGTTACATGCTATACGAACAACAGCGTTACAACGCACCCCTTTATATGAAACGAAATACGCAAAACGCATGCAAAACGAAAATACGCTTCATGATATACGCACGCTAAAACGCACGCAAAATAGAATCGTTTCTAAACGTTAATAAAATATCCTTATCATATAAATTTTTTAACAACTTCTTAGCTTGATCGTTTAGTGATTTGATTAAATGATAGCTAGCCATTCATGTATTTTAAACGGGTTTATGTTAACTAACTTATCTTATGTCCCCTCATTAGTGAATAGTTCAGAGCTGTAAAAATGAAAATCAGTTTTAGGCGTATCTTTTTTTGTGATTCCATATACCATGCCAGTAATGGTCCCCCCTGACAGGGAAGGGAACTTCCTTACTGATAGTGGATTTGACACCTCTGTCTGCATTATAGGACATTTGCCATACCTTTTTTTTTTTTTCATGAAATTTGGTGGATTTTTTCATATCAATCAAACAGATGTAATTGTTACTCAATATTATAGTGATATGTTGGCCTTACTAACTTGGTTTCATTTCCTAGGAGGTTATAATAAGGGAAATTACCCCCCTTTTTAAATATGTAATGTATTTGCTTGAACAAAATAGGCATCATAGACAATTACCTTATCTCTCTTCATTGTCAATATAATTCAATGGGTTTTCTTTTTTAAAAGTCATTAGATGTAGTAGTTACTTGATAAGTATAACATTATTTGGCTTTACTTACTTTGTTTTTAGTGACCAAAAGGTTATAACAAGGTAAAACTTACCCAAATTTTCAAATTGATTTAGTGTGGTAAAGTTATTGATAAGGCATTATAGAAAATTAGCCATTATTTCTTAATTTGCAATGAAATTTGTTGGGATTTTCTTACATAAGTCAATTTGATGTAGGTTTAACTTAATATAATAATACTATGTTGCTTATATAACTTTGATTCATTTACCATAATATTACTCCCATTTTTAATGAATTAGTGTGTTAGCTTGTATAGTTATACATAATAGGAAATAAGCCATAATTTTTTGAATATTCAATGTAATTTATTGAGATATTCTTATTTTAATCAATTAGATATTCTTATTAATTAATATAATAGATTTATGTTGCACTTATAATTCTGTTTCATTTCCTAGGCTGATATAATAAGGTAAAAATCCCCATTTTGTAGTGAATTGGTGTTCTATCTTAAGACAGTAAGGTATCTTAGGAAATTTGCAATAACTCTAATATTTTGTAATGAAATTTGGTTGGACTTCCTTACTTTAGTCAATTAGATACGTTTGTTAATTAATATGATAGATTAATGTTCCTCTTGTAGCTTTGTTTAATTTCCAAGGCTCTTTTAATTAGGTAAAATTTTCATATTTTGTTGTTGATTTAGTGCACTATCTTGGACATTTAGGCATCTTAGGAGATTTGCCATAATTTTCATATTTTGTAATGAAATTTGTTAGGACTACCTTATTTTAGTCAATTACATATGTTTGTTAATTAATATGATAGATTTATGTTATATAAAAAATTCTGTATCATTTCCTAAGAGGTGAAGTTTAAGGTAAAATTACCCGGTGTATCAACATTTTATGTGGCACTGCTTTCTTTTATAGTTGGGGTCCAGATAAAAATTTACTATAACATTTATTATTTTTCCTGGACAATTATTGAAATCTTCTTTTTTAAGTCATCTAATGAAAGCTTTTAATTAATAAAGTTGATTTGGATTGATTTATCAATTACATTACTTTTCATAGGGATCTTGTATTATGCCTTTTTTAATGAACTGACCTACCTATGAAGCATAAAAATTGATATTGTAGGAAATTAAAATTACAATCAATTGAAATTGTACAGGTCCCAAAAGATATATTAGTATGCAAATGGGTTTATGTAAATTTAATATAAATACATAGGTGATATTTAAGTATATTATAGTTAGAATTTTATCAGTTATGTCTAGGTTTATAACTTACTTGAGGGAAGTTAAACAAGTGACTTGGGACTACAGCATACCTATCTTACTCAGCTGAGAAAAATCTTTAAAGAATTATATGGTTATATATGGATAGGTTATATACTTTTAAGTTAGCAAAGGGCGACACAGGCTCATCTCGGGGTATCTCAAAGGGGTATTATGTTAAGTAATGATTACGGATTGATAAACCTTAAAAGTGATTTTAGATAATATACAGAATAAAAATCAAGAAAGCTATATATGTTTATCTAAGTGGGTTATATTATTGACCTCATATAAGATTAAGATATATTTGAGCCCCGTCACGATAAAAGCAACATAATGGGTTTGCGACCAGCATGGATCCAGACCAGCCTGGGCATCTGTTCGCTATCAGTGTTATACGGTTTGTAAGTGACCAGTAAAAGCCCAGGCCACATACAAAAATAATAGTCTATGGCTTAATTATGAGCTGACAGATAGGGGAATTTTGTAAAGGGCGGATGCCTGTCTGTTGTGATTACATGTCTTAAAAGTTCAACATGCTATATTTTAGCCACCATAGAATTTTTTATCTAGAAAAGTATCTAGTTATTTTTATTTGTACAAAAATATAGAAATAGTGCAATGTACAATGTATAATTAGTAAAATGTTCACTATACATGTACAAATAATGAAACTATTAACAAATGTCGGTACAGCTGCGGTACAGTATTTAGACGGTCACGGGTTCGAGTACATGTCAGGATGCACTTTTTTCTCACCCTGTGACTGACAAACATTTGTATAGCCCAGCTAGAAATTAATTCACAATGCTAAGTAAGCCTGGGAAATTCGAAGAAATATTTGCATACACAGTAGGTTTATAACTATTCAGTATTTAAACAAGTAAAACGTGTAAGCGGCCGAATAGCTCAGAGGAACTCAAGAGCCGCGGAATCGTATTCCGAGTGTCAGGGGTTCGAGTGCCTGCCAGGCTGTTACATATCAATATAAATCCGTCAAGAAAATAGGAAGGAACTGTCTAAAATAATTATCACCCTAAATAGTATTCGGATAGGATTCGGACAGTCTTTGATGAAAAGTCAGAAGATGAACTTGTAAAGGGGGTGGGGTGCTAGTCTGATCACATCATTTGATGTCTGACGAACCTCGTATCTAATATATATTGGTACGCATATAAACATCTGTTTGCTGAATTGAATATCAAAAATGTTGCAATTAATTAGTAATTA